GTTTAATGATCGTGGATTTTTTAAAAATATTTTTTTATAGCGCATTACCAAACGTGGATTTTTTATAATTTTTTTTTTTCATAGCGCATTACCAAACGTGGATTTTTTAAAAATATTTTTTCAAAGTCTATTGCCAAACGTGAATTTCTTAAAAAATATTTTTTAAGGACATTTAATGAACGTGGATTTTTTAAAAATATTTTTTCAAGGTCTATTACCAAACGTGGATTTTTCACAAATATTTTTTTAAGGTCTATTAACAAACGTGGATTTTTTAAAAATATTTTTTCAAGGTCTATTACCAAACGTGGATTTTTCACAAATATTTTTTTAAGGTCTATTAACAAACGTGGATTTTTTAAAAATATTTTTTCAAGGTCTATTACCAAACGTGGATTTTTCACAAATATTTTTTAAGGTCTATTAACAAACGTGGATTTTTTAAAAATATTTTTTCAAGGTCTATTACCAAACGTGGATTTTTCACAAATATTTTTTTAAGGTCTATTAACAAACGTGGATTTTTTAAAAATATTTTTTCAAGGTCTATTACCAAACGTGGATTTTTCACAAATATTTTTTTAAGGTCTATTACAAAACGTGGATCTCTCATATAAGATAAGAGGGTCTCTCATATAAGATAAGCGGGTCCGCCCATAGAAGACCTGTGGGTCTTAAAGGAAATGTTTCAATGTCTTTCTGGAGGAGCCGGTACCAAATAATTTCGAAATATATCTCATTGGCCATAAATTTTATTAAAATAACATGACATTTTAAATGGCTTCCCCAGACTGCGTTGTTAACAACGTAGATTTTTTAAATATTTTTTCAAGATCTTCCAAAAATTATTGATTTTTCACAAATATTTTTTCAATTATTTATCTATGAAGATTATGAAAGCATTATTTCTACTTTCTACCCCACCTTTTACCATATCGAAGTTAATTTGCTGAACTTTGGAAATATTAAGATACATTTGAGCAAATATAAAGAATATTAAAATAATACACAAATCTACAGCCACACGCACAGTGGGACCTTTCAAAAATGGATTCTAAAATAATAAAATATTTATTATAGTATAGGTTTTATATATGTCACGATTTAAAAATTATCGATTTCAAAATCCACAAAATGTATTAGATTTGGGGGTTGTATGTATTTTTGGGAGGTTCCACTGTACATCCTTATTTATATTTGCTCATATTTTAATCTCTTTGTAAGCACATACACACACTCACACAAGTGTGTTCTTCGGTCTGCTTATCTTTTATGTTATTTAAAATATTTATGAAATAGTTTTGATAACAGATTCTTTGCAAACACACGCACAGACACACCCGACCTTACACACACACATTTACTTAATGTTGCATAAATAAATGGAATACAAAATATGATTATCCTGGGGATTACCTTTGATAATAGACTAAACACAAATCCAATTAAATACGTCTTGGCATGATGAGGACTTGATAATCACTAAATGTTTGTAATATCCCAGCGGGTGGGGAAGGGCAGAAGGGTTGCGGGATGGGAATTTCTAATAAAACCGTTTTTCATTTGGGTTAGCAAAGTAAATATATGTTCTGTCAATACCCAAATGACTGAAATGAAATTATTGGTTAAGATGTATTGGAAATTAGTTTAAATATTTGATTTGGGATCAAGGTAATCATTCAGAGGAAATATTGATTATTGAGTAAGGAATTTTGTTTGGCAGAATTGTGGAAATTTTTAAGCGTTATAATGTGGGAATTCTTATTTGATTATGTGTTATAAATCTAGCAAGGAATTTAAATGAAAATAATAAAATTGGTCCTTGAAAAATATTTTTAAAAAATCCACGTTTATTGGTAGTACTTGAAAAAATATTTTTAAAAAATCCACGTTTATTGGTAGTACTTGAAAAAATATTTTTAAAAAATCCACGTTTATTGGTAGTACTTGAAAAAATATTTTTAAAAAATCCACGTTTATTGTTAGTCCTTGAAAAAAATAATCTTTAAAAAATCCACGTTTATTGGTAGTCCTTTAAAAAATAATCTTTAAAAAATCCACGTTTACTGGTAGTCCTTGAAAATATATTCTTTAAAAAATCCAAGTCTAAAATTAGTTTCTGAAAAATATTTTTAAAAAACCCACATCTATATTTAGTTCCTGAAAAAGTATTTTTAAAAAATCCACGTTTATTGTTAGTCCTTGAAAAAATATTCTTAAAAAACCCACGTTTATTGTTAGTTCTTGCAAAAATATTTTTAAAAATTCCACGTTTATTGTTAGTCCTGAAAAAAATATTTTTAAAAAATCGACGTTTATTGTTAGTCATGGAAAAAATATTTGTAAAAAAGCCACGTTTATTGTTAGTCCTGGAAAAAATATTTGTAAAAAATCCATTTTATTGTTAGTCCTTAAAAAATATTTTTAAAAAATCAACGTTCATTGTTCGTCTTTGAAAAAATATTTTTAAAAAATCCACGTTTATTGTTCATCTTTGAAAAAATGTTTTTAAAAAATCCACTTTTATTGTTAGTCCTGGAAAAAATATTTTTTAAGGATCCACGTTTATTGTTAGTCCTGGAAAAAATATTTTTTAAGGATCCACGTTTATTGGTAGTCCTTGAAAAAATATTTTTAAAAAATCCACGTTTATTGGTCTTTTGGTCCTTGAAAAAATATTTTTAAAAAATCCACGTTTATTGGTCTTTTGTTCCTTGAAAAAATATTTTTAATAAATCCACGTTTATTGGTCTTTTGTTCCTTGAAAAAATATTTTTAAAAAATCCACGTTTATTGGTCTTTTGGTCCTTGAAAAAATATTTTTAAAAAATCCACGTTTATTGGTCTTTTGGTCCTTGAAAAAATATTTTTAAAAAATCCACGTTTATTGGTCTTTTGGTCCTTGAAAAAATATTTTTAAAAAAATCCATGTTTGTTGTTAGTCCTTGAAAAAATATTTTTAAAAAAATCCATGTTTGTTGTTAGTCCTTGAAAAAATATTTTTTAAAAAATCCACGTTTTTTGTTTGTCCTTGAAAAAATGTTCTTTAAAAATTCACGTTTATTGTTAGTCCTTGAAAAAATATTTTTAAAAAATCCACGTTTATTATTAGGCCTTGAAAAAATATTTTTAAAAAATCCACGTTTATTATTAGGCCTTGAAAAAATATTTTTAAAAAATCCACGTTTATTATTAGGCCTTGAAAAAATATTTTTAAAAAATCCACGTTTATTGGTGGTCCTTGAAAAATTATTTTTTAAAAAATCCACGGTTAATGGAAGTCCTTGAAAAAATATTTTTAAAAAATCCACGTTTATTATTAGGCCTTGAAAAAATATTTTTAAAAAATCCACGTTTATTATTAGGCCTTGAAAAAATATTTTTAAAAAATCCACGTTTATTATTAGGCCTTGAAAAAATATTTTTAAAAAATCCACGTTTATTGGTGGTCCTTGAAAAATTATTTTTTAAAAAATCCACGGTTAATGGAAGTCCTTGAAAAAATATTTTTAAAAAATCCACGTTTATTGGTGGTCCTTGAAAAAATAATTTTAAAAAATCCACGTTTATTGGTCTTTTGGTCCTTGAAAAACATTCTTTAAAAAATCCACATTTGTTGTTAGTCCTGGAAAAAATATTTTTTAAGGATCCACGTTTATTGTTAGTCCTGGAAAAAAATATTTTTAAAAAATACGTGTTTATTGTTAGTCTTGGAATAAATATTTTTAAAAAATCCACGTTTATTGTTAGTCCTTGGAAAAATATTTTTAATAAATCCACGTTTATCGGTAGTCCCTGAAAAAATATTTTTAAAAAATCCACGTTTCTTGTTAGTCCTGGAAAAAATATTTTTTAAAAAATCCACCTTTCATAATCCATTTTATAAGCAATAGTTTTTTAAAATATTTTCCTTTTGTACATCAGTGCGTATACGTTATGCCATAACATATACGCCATGTGATACCCCATGGGCTGTTTTATTGAAATTGCTCCCATTAACTCCTTCTTAAAATCTGCATGTTTCCTAAAATCTTCCTCCCTGTATATCTCAATTGCCAGGCAGCTGTATAAAATAATGGCGGTAATTAGAAAAACAAGCTGTAATATTTTACATACATAATTGTTATTATGCTAAATATATATCATAAGTTCCGTATAGCCTTAAAAACTTATCATATTTTATACATGAATAATTTCCACCGTTAGTGTGTATGTATGTGTATAGTTGTCTTCCACTTATTATTAGATTGTGTACTAATTTTTCACCTTTTTTCCTTCCTTCTTTTCATTTCATGTCTGGCCGAATAAAATGATAACAATAAAAAAACAATTCACTCTGAACTGAACACTCAAATCCCTGCTGGTGATATGATAACTCGACGACGACGACTACGACAACGAAACCCCTCAACGACACAACACATTAATCTTTGATATCTGAATGTTGCAACACAATGATGCCACCGCCACATCACAAACGATACTACATTGTCGGCTCTGCCACTGTCAACGGCTGTCTCTTCATCTGGGTTTGTGTGTCTGTCTCTCTATGGCTTTTCTTACTTTCCCCACCTTCATCTGGATCCTACCTCTCCCCATCGACTATTCATATTACACCAACTGTGAATTCTAACATATTTTCACCGGCGGATGTAAATTAATGCCATCAACACAAATACACCCACATATATACCCTCCATCCCTCCCACACACACTCTGCCACATATCTTAACTGTCTGTACATTCAAAAATAAATCCGTTAAATAATGTTATTGTGTAATGGATGAACATGTGTGTGTGGGTGTCTGTGAATGTATTCGGCTGTTGTTGTTATGACAATGATAAAATCATATTTTCATATTCGCATTCACACCGTCTGTCTTTCTCGCTCTCTGTGTATCTCTCTCACATGTCATAACTATTCACGTAAATACACTCACTCACTCACAATCGTCGGAATCCCCACTCATAACACTTATCGCAACTCTTGGCGAAAGCAGAAATGCAAACACACGAAGAGTTACTCGAGGATATCAGAGATGATACCGGCGTTAACATAATACCCGACAAAGGTAAGTGATGCAAATTTGTTTGTATTATTGTGTTATCGGTTGTGGCAGGCAACAAGAAGCAGCAGCAGCAACAGTGGTAATAACAGCTGGGGCAGGCATGGAAAGGGTTACAATGTTTGATTCATATTTCTGAAAAATATTTCTTTAAGACCCAATATTAAATGGAGGTACTTCAAAAAATATATTTTTTAAAAATTATGGTTCCCTGGTAGTCCTGGAAAAAATATTTAAAAAAAGGATTTTTTAAACCAGGATTTAAAAAAAAAAAATAATTTTGAAGGATTTCCATTTAATCCCTGAAAAAAATATTTCTCTAAAAAACAGTTACAGCTGGTTCAAAGGGTTGCCATCTGGAATCGATAGTTCTGAAAAAATATATATTTAAAACCCCACGTTAATTGATAATCCTTGAAAAATTTTTTTTAATAAATTCTGGTTCCCTGATAGTCCTGGAAAAAATATTTAAAAAAATTCTTGATGCCTGAAAAAATATTTCTCTAAAAACATTTACAGCTGGCTCAGGCATTCAAAGGGTTGCCATCTGGAATCGATAGTTCTGAAAAAATATATTTTCAAAAACCCACGTTAATTGGTATTCCCTGAAAAAATATTTTTTAAATATTTTTTTTTTAATATTTTTTTTTAAATATTTTTTTAAATATTTTTTTAAAAACACTTTTTCTCTGGTAGTTCTGGAAAAAATATTTAAAAAATCCCTAATCCTTGAAAAAATTATTTCTCTAAAAACATTTACAGCTGTGTCAGGGATTCAAAAGGTTACTATTTGGAATCGATAGTTCTGAAAAAAAAATATTTTTAAAACCCCCCGTTAATTAATAGTCCTGGAAAAAATATTTCTTAATCCCGCTTCCCTGCTAGTTCCTCAAAAAAATAGTTATATTAGATCCTTGATGGTTCTTGAAAAAATTTCCCTCTAAAAACCCCTCCTTCTAACTTCACCAAAAATTCATAGATAGCTCTTTAAAATATTTTTTGAAAATTTACATGACCTAGTTATCTTTAAAAAATAAAATCAGGCATTCAATAGGTTACTATTTCGAATCTCTAGTTCTGAAAAAATATATTTTTAAGTCCCCCCGTTAATTGATAGTCCTTGAAAAAATATTTCTTAATCCGGCTTCCCAGATAGTCCTTTAAAAAATATTTATTTAAAATATTAGATCCTTGAAGGTTTTTGTAGAAATATGTCTCTAAGACCCCTCCTCCTACCTTCGCTAAAAAGTCATAGATAGTCCTTAAAAACATTTTTTCAAAATTCACATGTCCTAGTTGTCCTTAAAAAATAAAATTTAAATTTAAAATTTAATTATGGTTTTTTATTTTTTAAAACATGTTCCCTGCGTAATTCTTCATTTTTTTTAAAAACTCACGATTCCCTATTAGTCCTTGAAGAAATATTTTTAAAATTATTTGAGCTTTGAAAAATATTTCTCTAAAACCCTCTCTTCCACTCTTTATAACGCTAAAAAGTCTGAATGTAGATAATCCAAAAAAATGTCCTCGTCCTAGTAGTCCTTAATTTGTTTTAATTTAAAATTTATTCATGGCTTTTAAAACAAATTATTAAAAAAAAATCTTTAAAAAAAATATTTTTTTTTAATATTTGATCCTTAAGGGTCCTTAAAGAAACACTTCTTTTAAAAGCCCCTCTTCCTAATTTCGCTAAAAAGAATTGAATTTATTAAATTTAAATTTTTTTATATTATTAAAATAAATTTATTTATGGTTTTTAAAATAATTTTTAAAAAATTCTGGTTCCTCGGTAGTCCTTCAAAACCATTTTTTTTAAATTCTTGATGTTGCCTGAAAAAATATTTCCTTAAAAACCCATTTTCCAAACAGAGCTAAAAAAAATCGAAATTTACAGAAAAATTTTTTTTCTAAAAATTCTTTTCCTAACAGCGCTAAAAAATATCATAGATAGTAAATCAAATCTATTTATCTTAAAACCACCCCTCCTAACAGCGCTAAATTTTTTTTTTTTACAATCCACGTTTTTTTTTTTTTTTGGAAGGTCCTTTAAAAAATATGTTTAAAATATAAACGTTTATTGATTTAAGTGTTTGTTTTCTCTTTCGAGACGAGCTTAATGATCTGAAATTTGCAGTGAAAAGGAAAGCCAGATAGACACTATCACACACTCACCACTATGCGACGCGTTTCGCCGTTGGTTAAGCGGCTCATCAGGCATATTTGGTGTGGATGATGGCTTACAAGGGCCGTTCTCTGGAATGTAGTATATATTTCGAACTTATTGCAAATTAGCATTTGCGAATTAAACACTAGAAACTCTCCAGGTTCGACTCAAGTTCTATTGGCAGATCTTTTTTCACAGCAACGTTTTTGTTTTTTGTAGTGATGGATTTTTTGTCCACAACAACTACATTGCTTCCAATGCATACACTTGTTTTAGTGCTGCTTTAGGAAGACGGGTTAATGGCTCTGAACGTAGAGACGGCAACTTCTAGTTGGCTGCACACAGAGGTCCGCGGTTCAAATCCCACAGCCAGGCTCGGCTGAATTTTTGAGAACGGCCCTTGTAAGCCATCATCCACATCAAATATGCCTGATGAGCCGCTTAACCAACGGCGAAACGCGTCGCATAATGGTGAGTGTGTGATAGTGTCTATCTGGCTTTCCTTTTCACTGCAAATTTCAGATCATTAAGCTCGTCTCGAAAGAGAAAACAAACACTTAAATCATAAAACATATGATCTTCGCCTTAACAAGGCAAAACTCATAAACGTTTATTGTTAGTCCTTGAACAATAACAGAGTTATAGGTAGTCCTTCAAACGATATTTCTAAAAAAATCCATGTCTATTGATAGTCCTTTGAAAATATTTATAAAAAAAATACCCGTATATAAAAACGTTTACTGGTAGACTTTGAAAAAAATATTTTTACAAAAACCACTTTTATTGGTAGTCCTTGAAAAAATATTTTTAAAAAATCCACTTCTATTGTTAGTCCTTACAAAATATTTTTTTAAAAAATCAACGTTCATCGGTAGTTCAGAAAAAATATTTTAAAAAAATCCACCTTTAGTGGTAGTTCTCGAAAATATATTTCTAAAAAGTCGTGGTTTAGTGGTAGTCCTTGGAAGATAATTTTTTAAAAATCCACATTTAATAGAAGTCCTAATTTTTTTCTTAAAAATCCAAATTTATTGGTAGTCCTTGAAAAAAATTTTTTAAAAGAATCCACGTTTGTTAGAAGTCCTTGAAAAGAATTTTTTAAAAATTCCACGTTTACTGGTAATCCTTAAAAAATATTACAATGGTAACTATGTTAGATGAACATTTGTGTAAAATCCCCACATTAAATGACAGTCCTTGAAAAAACAGTTTAATGAAAACCATTCAAGGACCATTGAAAAAAATTAAATATACTGGATCATTGAGGGTCTTTGAAAAAATATATTCTCAAAAAACCCTATTCATAAGAAATCTCAAAAAATCAAAATTTTTCGATAGTAACTTAAAAAAATTTTTTGAAATTTCCAATATCTTAATTTGTCATTATTTGGCTTTTACAAAAATTTCTTTTAAATTCGTTGTTCTTGAAAATAATTTTGGAGAATTCCTCCTTATTATAAAGCTGAATTTTATAGGAAGTCCTTTGAAATAGAAAATATTGTCTCTAAAAATAATTTTTAAAAATTTAATATTTTTTGACAGTCATTCAAAAATCCAAAACTATTTCTGTTTTAGATTGAAATTTCTAAAAAATATATTTTTAACAAGTAAGCAAAGGCTACAGTCGAGCGGGGCCGACCGTTGAATACCCTACAACACTATAATAAACCATATAGTTTATACAGGCGAGATAATCGAAAGAACTCCACAAGATATTGTGACAAATAATAAAAGAAAACCATCATGTTTCGTTCTCTAATTTTCGGATAATAGCAACTTAAATTTGATCATTTCCAATTTATTGGTAGATGTCGCTGGAATGGACATTTTCGTATTTAGTCTACAAAAGTTGGCAAACTATTTCACACATTCAATATTTTTGGATGGCCATCCGAAACTGCTTGGCTTTTGCAATGTGCGGTAACCCCCATAAAAATGGGCGTGAGGATCGGGAGATAATTACGACCTGCTGACAATTTTGCAGTTTTTTTGGTCCATTTCAACCCCTAAATATATGGCGATCAAAAAGAGTAGGCATCTATTCTGACCCTCATCTTATCCCCATGCAAAATTTCGTAAGAATCGGGCCATAAATACGATCTGTATATGACATCCTGATATCCTAACTACTTAGTTTTGTTAGCTGTAGAAATATTACCAAATGTTTAATTCAAAATGAAAATATGCCAAAAATATGACAAAATTGAAAAAATATGAGAAAATTTTACAAAATCAATATTTTCATCTTTAGAGAGATATTTTTATGCGATTTTTTTAGACGGGTTTTCTTTCCTGCCAAGAGGCCATTCTGAATTAATGAGAACTGTCGAAATCAGTTCAGCCGTTCTCGACATATAAGAGATCTTTCAAGCATATCTTCTTTCATAGACGTATATATCGCACATATTTTGCTATATATCCGATTTGTTGGATGTTAACATCAATGTAAAGTTCAGAAGTAACCTTGTGATGGCTTTGTGATTTCGCCGGGATTTAAAATATTCGCGGTTTAATGAAAAATTTTGAATTTTTTCAACAAAAAAGATATAGTCGATTTTAGCCGCTAAATATTATCCGATGACCACCCAAATTGGTAGGCTTCTTCCCCGCCCTAAACTCTAGCTACATGTGAAATTTCGCGTCGATTGGTCTGTAATTGCGACCTGTATAGCTACTGCAAAATCCGACATTTTTTCAGTATTTGGTCCATTTCAACCCCTAAACATTTGGCGATCTTCTCCAAAAGAAATAGGGTTCTATTCTGACATTAACCCCACCTACATTTTAAATTTCGTGAAGATCGGACCATAATTGCGACCTGTAGAGTGATTACAAATTAACATGGACAGACGGACAGACGGACGGATGGACATACATAGCTAGATCGACTCAGCTCGGCGAGCTAGGAAGATCCATATATAC